TCTTTCTCTTTGGATGGAGAAGGAAGGCGGATGCCAAGAGGATCCCAAGCGAGGAGGGAAGGAGGGACCGGTGGAGGCCCCAAACTGTCACCGCATTTCAAGGAAGGAGGCAAAGGCAAAAGGCCCACAAAAGGCCTCCCCCCTCGCTGGCCCTGACCCAGGCGGAAGGCCGGCCGGCCCACCCACACTTGGGGGCAGGGAACACGCCGGGCGGGGGCCGAGGCTCTTCCTCTGGGACATTTGGGTTAGGAATCCTTGGAAGCGTCTACACCAGTGATGGGCAACCTTTTGAGCTTGGTGTGTCAAAATTTGCCAAAAACGCATGTGTCTGCGTGTCATCAAAAATAGCCATGCGTGTCAGTGCTGACCTGCGTGTCATAGGTTCACCATCATGGGTCTACACGGTGGTTCCAACGCACTTTGGTCCCCTTCTGCCCCATTGCCCCCCTCACCTGCAATGCTTCCACGCACCCCAAACTGAACCCCAAACTGAGCAGGACACAGAGACGGGCAAGTGGCATCAAAGGCTGGACAAAATAAGAACCATAATAATAATAATAATAACAATAATAATAAGGCATATAGATCTTGTTTGCTGTGACATACTGTGCTTTTGTGTCAGAATAATAATAACAATAATAATAATAATAATAACATTTAATTGTCGAAGGCTTTCATGGCTGGAATCACTGGGTTGTTATACGTTTTTTGGGCTATATGGCCATGTTCTGGAAGCATTCTCTCCTGACGTTTCACCTGCATCTATGGCAAGCATTCTCAGAGGTTGTGAGGAGGTTGTCAGGTCTCTCACATCCTCTGAGGATGCTTGCCACAGATGCAGACAAAATGTCAGGAGAGAATGCTTCTCAAACACTCTCACAACCTCTGGGGATGCTTGCCATAGATGCAGGCGAAACGTCAGGAGAGAATGCTTCTAGAGCGCTCTCACGACCTCTCAGGATTCTTGCCATCACAAACCTCTTGCCATAGATGGAGGCGAAAAGTCAGGAGAGAATGCTTCTAGAACACTCTCACAAACCTCTTGCCATAGATGCAGGCGAAATATCAGGAGAGAATGCTTCTCGAACACTCTCATTACCTCTGAGAATGCTTGCCATAGATGCAGGCGAAACGTCAGGAGAGAATGCTTCTAGAACACTCTCACAACTCTTGCCATAGATGCAGGCGAAACGTCAGGAGAGAATGCTTCTAGAACATGGCCATATAGCCCAAAAAACCTACAACCATTAATAATTAATATTTATCTCTCCCGAAGGAGACTCACTTAACATAAAAGCTGACAAAATGCCAAAAGTTAATGTAAAAACCTTTGTCTGGGGCTGCATTAATTCGACATCTACACTGTCGAATTAATGCACTTTGATACCACTTTGATGCTAAAGGATGGTGGGAGTTCTAGTTCAGTGGCATTTGGCAGGCCTTGTCAAATCATGAATCCGTAGCACCAAGCTGCAGAAATACTACTACTAATAATATGATATTATAATTATATATTTTACATTAGATGTAGTATTACTAATATTACAGTATAATGTTTTATATTAAATGTAATATTACTAATAATATTACAGGATAATGTTATAGTACAATGTAATATATAATATTAATATTGTGCTAAGATAATAATAATAATAATAATAATAATAATAATAATATTGTGTTTACTTTTTACTTGTAAGCCGCTCTGAGTCCCCTTCGGGGTGAGAAAGGCACCGTATCAAGGTCGTACATAATAAATAAATACATAAATAAATAAATACTGTATATACTCGAGTATAAGCCTAGTTTTTCAGCCCCTTTTAGGCTGAAAAATCTCCCCTCGGCTTATATTTGAGTCAAGGTTATTTATTCTTTTACTCTGTGATTAGTACGCTTTTATTACATTTATTATTTTACTCTATTATCATTATATTTACATTATTTTGCTCTATTAATATTCTATTTATTATTTTGCTCTATTATTACATTTACAGTATTTTACCCTATTATTATTATTATTATTATTATTATTATTATTACATTTACAGTATTTTACCCTATTATTATTACATTTATTATTTATTATCGAGTATAAGCCTAGTTTTTCAGCTCTTTTTTTTGGACTGAAAAAGTCCCCCTTGGCTTATACTTGAGTCAAGGTTATTTAGTATTTTACTCTATTATTATTATTATTATTATTATTATTGTTGTTGCATTTATTATTTTATTCTATTATTATTATTATTATTATTACTACTACTACTACTACTACTACATTTATCATTTTACTCTATTATTACATTTATTATTTTACTTTATAATTGCTGTTATTGCTACTAATATTATTTTACTCTTTTTATTATTGATATTATTACATTTATTATTTTATTCTATTATTACTGTTATTATTACATTTCCATTATTTTACTCTATTATTATTATTGCATTTATTATTCTATTATTATTATTATTATTACTACTACATTTATCATTTTACTCTATTATTACATTTATTATTTTACTTTATAATTGTTGTTATTGCTACTAATATTATTTTACTCTTTTTATTATTGATATTATTACATTTATTATTTTATTCTATTATTACTGTTATTATTACATTTCCATTATTTTACTCTATTATTATTATTATTACATTTATTATTTTACTTTATAATTGCTGTTATTGCTACTAATATTATTTTACTCTTTTTATTAATGTTATTATTACATTTATTATTTTATTCTATTATTACTGTTATTATTACATTTCCATTATTTTACTCTATTATTATTATTGCATTTATTATTCTATTATTATTATTATTACTACATTTATCATTTTACTCTATTATTACATTTATTATTTTACTTTATAATTGCTGTTATTGCTACTAATATTATTTCACTCTTTTTATTATTGATATTATTACATTTATTATTTTATTCTATTACTACTGTTATTATTACATTTCCATTATTTTACTCTATTATTATTATTATTACATTTATTATTTTACTCTCTTTATTATTATTGGAAGGAGATGTAAGCACATTTACATTGAAGGTTAGAATTCGGGTCGGCTTATACTCGAGTATATACGGTAAATCCATTGATATTTGCAGACGGCTGATTTTGGAGGCAGCGGGTTCTGGCCTTGACCCCAAACGTCCCCATTAAGACCGGGAAGTAACAGAACATTCTTGAAAAACATTACTAAATATATAAACATTCTCAAGAGGAAAGGAATTCCCCGATTACTTTACAAAACGTCACTTTTTTAATGTTTTCACATAAAAACAAGGAGGAAAAAAGGGGGGATTACAAACCCAAGGATGGCGCCCCACTTGCTCCCCCCACCCCCCCACCCCCCTCCCTCTCTCCCCAAAAACCCCAAACACATGCGCAACCCAAGAAAAGTCAACAAAAAAAAAAGGGGATTTGCTTAAAAAACATTATTAAAAAATAATGATCATGATCATAATAACAATCCGTGTCCCGAGAGTCTTGTTTCCGTCTCTCCCGCTCTCGGGGGCAGAGCTTGGAAGCAGAAAGCGTTCCCCAAGAGGTATCTCGCGTCCCCCCAAAAAAGGTCCGGCTTCGGCATCCGATCCAGGCCAAATTTAAGGGAAAATTAGGAAATGCAAAGCCCCCCCCCGGATGGAGACGCCAGAGAGCAAAGGACCGTCCTCGCCTCTCCCGTCTCCTTTCCCCCAAAGTCTGTAGAGTGTCCTTATTGCCATTGGTTTGGAAAAGGAAGCGGAAAAGCGTCCACAAGTGTATAGAGCACATGGACGCAGCTGTCGTGCGTCCCTCTGGAAAGCAAGAGGTGTGGACTAGTGCTGATAACAGCACTTCATGTGTTTGCAATGTTACGATTGGACGGTGCGCTGAGTGTTCAGTAGCTTCTAATGTATATCGCTGTAAAATAAAGTAGTTTATAGCCTAAGGTGGCTGTCATCAATCATGTTCCTGCCTTACTGACAGTTGGGTTATGGGCCCAGAACCACACTCCACCGCTGCGCCTCATCTACGATGATTGTCACTGACAGAGGTCTCTTCCCAGAAAGGCTTTACTCTTTGAGAAGGGAAGCCCCATCAGGCTCCTCTCTTAGGGCCCTTCCACACAGCCGCATCAACCAGAACATCCAGGCAGATTGTCCACAAAAGGACCAGAGGATTAGCACGGTTGGTAAATCATCAGCAATTATAAGATCCAAAAGGTTGCAAGTTCAAAGTCCCAGGTTGGCGTGAGCTGCGAACTGTCAGCCTAGCTCATTGTTTACCTAAACAATTCGAAAACAGCTTTAGTTGTGATTAGAGAAATTAGGTACTGCTAAAAGCAGGGGAGGTGTTTTACGACACCATAAAGAAAGAAGATCAGAAAATGCTGGGCAACCAAAAGGAGGAAGTCATAGAGGAAAGAGCAACAGCACCCCCTGGACTCGAGCGCAACCTTCCACGGCCCCTCCTTCTGTTCTGTCTGTCTGTGTATTGTCTATACAAAGCGGCATTGAATGTTTGCCGTATATGCGTACTGTGATCCGCCCCGAGTCCCCTTCGGGGTGTGAAGGGCAGACTATAAATAAAGTATTATTATCATTGTTATTATTATCTGCTTTGAACTGGATTATCTGAGTCTACACTGCCATATAATAATCCAGTTCGATGAAACATACAGCTGTGTGGAAGGGGCCTTAGAGACACAGACCCAAGTCAGCAAACTTTCCTTGTTTTCCATTAACTCTTTTCTCTAGCAATGAAACGTCTGGCTCTCTGACCTGTCGGAACACCTTCCCTGTGGACTTTGTTTACTACCGTAATCTCCCCTATCATGCTGCCTATGCTGCTACAGAGACCAAATGTCCCTACACGTGTGTCTGCGTGAGAGGTCTGGCTGCTTCAGGAGGGAAAAGGAACATGTGGCTTCCGGTCTTTTGGACGCAGTCTCGCCTTCGGGTAGCTGTGACGGTCCGGCGCTGCGAAAGGGGGACCGCTGTCCCTTCTGTCCACCTTAAGCAGCCCGCAACAGGCCAAGGCGGTGGCCGGACGCCCGGAAGGCGGGCCTGTGTCCGAAAGGGTGGCCGCTCACCCGTCGTTGGCGGCCACCAGCTGCCCCAGGCCCTCCCGGATGTAGACGGACTGGATCTCCTTGGTCTTGAGGCAGAAGTCGCAGGCCCAGACGGCCGAGGCCTCGGTGGTCAGCAGCCCGTAGGCGTTCTCGGTCATGCCGGTGCACTCCCGGTGGAACCACTTCTGGCAGGAGGCCTCGCACAGGATGGCGTCCTGGTCGTCGTTGACCTCGCTGCGGCAGGCCCCGCAGGGGTACACCAGGCCCGGGGGCGGCTGGTGGCCGGAGGGGCCCCCGGGGGCCTTGCCGGAGGAGGGGGCCGAGGAGGAGGAGCCGCCGCCGCCACCGCCGCCGCCACTGCCGGGAGCCACACTGTTGCCCTCCGGGGTGCCCCCGTTGCCCCCGCTGTTGGGCACGAAGGGGGCCTGGGTGCCGTTCATGGCCGCCGCTGGGGAGCCCGTCGTGTGCGGCTCCGGAGGGAAGGCGTTGGGGGGAGCGTTGAGGGGCTTCCCCCCTCCTCCTCCGCCACCGCCCCCTCCTCCTCCGCCGCCATCTTCTCCTCCTCCTCCGCCTCCGGGATTGAAGCCGGGATCCGGTCCGGGGAAGGGACTGGGGTTGGGGGGCAGGTTGGGGAGGTTGGGGTTGGGGCGCTGCATGGGGTTCTGTCCAAAGAGGTTGCCCGGCTGGCCGAAGCGCTGGGGCATGGGCGGGGGCCCGCCGGGGGCGTTGAGGCCGGGGCCCATGTCCCCTCCTCCGCGGGGGGGCTGCCCCATCGTGGGGGAAATCATGGGGCCGAAGCCCCCCATGGGCCCCTGCATGAGCTGCCCGCCGGGGGGGCTGAAGTTCTGTCCCAGGGGCTGGCCAAAGGGCTGGGGGCCGCCAAAGCCCATCCCGCCCGGCTGCACGTAGGCGGGGTTCTGCGGGGGCAGGCTGAAGGCGGCGGCGGCGGCGGGGCCCATCTGCCCGGGGCCAAAGGGCGGGGGCTGCCTGCGCAGGGGCTGGGGGCCCCCTCCTCCGTAGCCGGGAGGGACCTGGGGCCCCATCGGGCCCTGCATGCGGAAGTTGCTGAAGGGCCCGGGGCCTCCCAGGAAGGGCGCGGCGGCCGAGCCCACCTTCGGGGCCCCAAAGTCATCCTCAAAGGGGTTGGAGGCCACCAGGTGGTCCACCATCGGGGTCGGCGGGGGAGCAAACTCCGAGAGGTGGGAGTAGGCCGGGCCCTGCAAGAGAGGGAGACACAGCACCGTCAAGGTCCAGGCAGCACAAACACAACAACAACAACAACAATCCCTGCAAAGCCCACCCAGCCCAACCCCCTTTGGCCAGGCAGGAAGACACCACCCAAGCCCTCCCAAGAGATGGCCACCCAGCCCCTGCTTTCGAGGCAGAGGGGGAGGCTCCACCGGACTCCCAACTCACAACAGACTCCGCTAACTCAGGAACTCTGGAAAAACTTTCCAACTTGGGGGCCACATGCTAGCACTCCCCGCCAAAAGGACTGGCTGCTCAGTGATGGAAGGAAGGAAGGAAAGAGAGAAGGAAGGGCAAAAGGCAGGAAGAGAAGGATGGAAGGAGAAAGAGAGAGGAAGGGGGAGGTAAAGATAAAGGAAATGGAGAAGGAAGGAAACAAAGAGAAGGAAAGAAGGGAGGGAAGAAGGAAGGAGGAAGAAAGGAGGAAGAAAAAGAGAGAGGAAGGAAGGGATGGAGGGAAAAGAGGGAGGGAGGAAAAAAGGGAGGGAGGAAAGAGAGAAGGGAGAAAGAAAAAGAAAGAGGGAAGGAAGGAAGGAGGGAAGGAAAAGAGAAGAAGGAGGAGGAGGAAGGAAGGAAAAAAGAAGAGGGAAGAAGGGAGGAAAAGGAAGGAAGGATGAAGGTGGAAGGAAGGATGGAAGGAGAGGGAGAAGGAAAGGGAGGTAAGGAGGAAGGAAAGAAAGGAAGGAAAGACAAGGAAGGAAGGAGGGAAGGAGGAAGGAGGGAGGAAGAGAAGGGAAGAAAAAAAGAGAGAAGGGAAGGGAAGGAGAGGAAAGAGGGAGGGAGGAAAGAGAAAAGGGAAGAGAAAAGGGAAGGAAGGAAGGAAGAAGAAGAGGGAAGGAAGGGGAAAGAGGGAAGGAAGGATGAAACGGAGGAAGGGAAGATGGAAGGGAAGGAAGGGGTAAAAAAGGGGGAGGTAAGGAGAAAGGAAATAGAGAAGGAAGAAGGGAAGGAAGGGAGGGTGAATTGGAGGAAGGCAGGAAGGAAGGAGAGGAAGAAAAAAGGAAAGAAGGAAGGGAAGGAGGAGAAAAGAGGGAAGGAAGGAAGGAGGAAGGAAGGAAGAAAGAGAAAGGAAGGGTGGAAGGGTGGAAGGTAGGAAGGGAAGGAGGAAGAAAAAGAGAAGGAAGGAAGGGAATGGAGGGGAAAAGAGGGAGTGAACAAAGGGAGGGAGGAAAGAGAGAAGGAAAGAGAAAAGGGAGGGAGGGAGGGAGGGAGGGAGGGAGGGAGGGAGGAAGGAAGGAAGGAAGGAAGGAAGGAAGGAGAAAGAGGGAAGGAAGGGTGGAAGGTAGGAAGGGAAGGAGGAAGAAAAAGAGAAGGAAGGAAGGGAATGGAGGGGAAAAGAGGGAGTGAACAAAGGGAGGGAGGAAAGAGAGAAGGAAAGAGAAAAGGGAGGGAGGGAGGGAGGGAGGGAGGGAGGGAGGGAGGGAAGGAAGAAAGGAAGGAGGGAAGGAAGGAAGGAAAAGAAGGAAGGAAGGGAAGGAGGAAGAAAAAGAGAAGGAAGGAAGGGAATGGAGGGGAAAAGAGGGAGTGAACAAAGGGAGGGAGGAAAGAGAGAAGGAAAGAGAAAAGGGAGGGAGGGAGGGAGGGAGGGAGGGAGGGAGGGAAGGAAGGAAGGAAGGAAGGAAGGAAGGGAAGGAGGAAGGAAGGGAGGAAGGTAGGAAGGGAAGGAGGAAGAAAAAGAGAAGGAAGGAAGAAGGAATGGGGGGAGGAGAAGGAAGGAAGGAGGAAAGGGAAGACAGGAAGGGAAGGAAGAAGAAAGAGAAGGGAGGGAGGGAGGGGATGGAGGGGAAAAGAGGGGAGGGAGGAAGGAAAGAGGAAAGGGAAGGAATGAATAAAAAAGATGGATAGAGGGAAGGAAGGATAAAAGGGTGGAAGGGAAGGAAGGAGGGAAAGAAGGAAGGAAGAATGGGATGGCGAGGGAGAGGAGGGCCTGAGAAAAGAGCCCAAGGGGCCGCGCTTGACCCCTGGGCCTGGCTTTGCACAATCTGCTCTTGGCTTTGAGGGAGTTCTTCCTAATGTTCGCTTTCCCTGTAATTTGAGCCCACGGCCTGTGTTGCCGGCCCCTTCTACACCGCCAGATAATCCAGATTTATTTATTTGTTGTGTCAGGAGCGACTTGAGAAACTGCAAGTCACTTCTGGTGTGAGAGAATTGGCCGTCTGCAAGGACGTTGCCCAGGGGACGCCCAGATGATTTGATGTTTTTATCATCCTTGTGGGAGGCTTCTCTCATGTCTCCGTATGAGGAGCTGGAGCTGATAGAGGGAGCTCATCTGCCTCTCCCCGGATTCAATCCTGCGACCTGTCGGTCTTCAGTCCTGCCGGCACAAGGGGGGGGGGGGTTGAACCCACTGCGCCACACGCAGATGATGAAGGCAGACCACCCGCATGATCTGCTTGGAACGGGATTACCTGAGCCTGCAAAGCAGACACGGCAGAGCAGAAGGGCCCCTGGTCTTTGGGGCGGCAGAAGCCAAGCGCGGGAGACCCTTCCCAATATTCTGCCATGGCCGTGGCAAGGCTGTGTCTATTTTCCTTGCAAACACTGACAAAAAGGACACTGAGATGTATTCACGTGCTGGGCACGCATCACACAACGTCACACCATTTCTGTCCCTGGTCATCAATGCCACTTCCGATCATAAAAACATGGGAAATGTTTCTTAAACAGCCAAAACGTCCGTCTTTGCAAGAGAGAGGGAGGGAGGCTATCCGTCTAGAGCAGTGGTTCTCAACCTGGGGGTCGGGACCCCTGGGGGGGTCGCGAGGGGGTGTCAGAGGGGTCACCAAACACCACAAGAAAACACAGTATTTTATGTTGGTCATGGAGGTTCTGTGTGGGAAGTTTGGCCCAACTCAATCGTTGGCAGGGTTCAGAATGCTCTTTGATTGTAGGTGAACTATAAACTCCAGCAACTACAACTCCCAAATTGCAAGGTCTATTTTCCCCAAACCCCACTAGTGTTTACATCTGGGCATATTGAGAATTCGCGCCAAGTTTGGTCCAGATCCATCATTGTTTGAGTCCACAGTGCTTTCTGGAGATAGGTGAACTACAACTCCCAAAACTCAAGTTCAATGCGCACCGAACCCTACCAGTATTTTCTCTTGGTCATGGGAGTTCTGTGTGCCAAGTTTGATTCAATTCCATCGTTGGTGGAGTTCAGAATGCTCTTTGATTGTAGGTGAACTATAAATCCCAGCAACTACAACTCCCACAGGACAAAATCAATGCCCTCCTCCAACCCCACCATTATTCAAATGTGGGTGTATTGGGTCTTTGTGCCAAATTTGGTCCAGCGAATGAAAATACATCCTGCATATCAGATATTTACATTACGATTCATAACAGGAGCAAAATGACAGTGATGAAGTAGCAATGGAACTAATTTTGTGGTTGGGGGTCACCACAACATGAGGAAGCGTATTAAGGGGTCGCGGCATGAGGAAGGTTGAGAAACACTGTTCTAGAGCACATTTGGCTCTCGTTTTCCAAGGCACTTCTCTTCGTAGGAGTCTCAACCAACTGTAGACGTTCCTGGAGGGGAGACACAACGCCTTCCAAAGCCAGGGATGCACAATTAAGCAGGAAAGGGCACTTCCACACCAGGAACAGGACAGTTGGCAAAGCCTGCCGTTACGGTAGTGTTATTGCGACAACGAGGACGGCCCCTTACCTGCGTGTTGGACTTGCGGCGCTTCTTCTCCGGGCTCTTCATTTGAAAGCCTGAAAAAGAGACCAAAACAAGGATGAACAGGGTCAAGACAAGCCAAATCCTCCGGACTCTGGACAGGTCTCTGGCCCAGCCAAAAGGACCCCCCAACACGGAGCCCTCCCATTGGCCCTTCTTGGGCCCTGGAGCCAGAGTGGGTTCGTCTTTCGCAATCTGCACTTTGGGGACAGAAGACCGCTCTGTCTGCACTGCATCCAATACACAACTCACAAAGAGATTTCATCACACACAAGCGTTGTGGGCATGTTTAGGGGGGCAGGGGAGCCTGCAAAAGGGGCCTCTGGGTGCATCTGCACTGCGAAATTAACACAGTTTAGCACCACTTTGAATTCAGTGCCACTGAATCTTGGGAGTTGCCATTTTGCAAAGCCTTAGCCTCCACAGTGCACATCTATACTGTCACATGAATGCGGTTTGGCACCACTTGAAGGGCTGTGAGGAAGAAAAGCCAAGACCTTGTTAAACTACAACTCCCAGGATTCCGCAGCAGGGTCAAGATGCATTCCTTTCCATTGTGGTGGTGCCTCCCTTGGGATATTGCTATTGCAGCTTCTACATCAGGCCTGGGCCAACTTCGGCCCTCTCTCCAGGTGCTTTGGACTTCAACTCCCACAATTCCTTACAGCCAAAGCTGCCCATGCCTGATCCACATTCTGGGATGAACACTATTATTATTATTATTATTATTATTATTATTATTATTATTAATGTTGTTGTTATTGTTATGATTGGACATCGCTTTCATGGCAGTGGTTCCTGAGAGTTCACAGAATCCCAGAGTTGGAAGGGGTCCCTAAAGGCCATCTAGTCTCTTCTCCCATAATGCAGGAAAAGCACAATCAAAGCCCTCCCAACAGATGGCCATGCAGTCTCTGTTTCAAAACATAAAAGTGTAGAGTTAGAAGAGACCACCTGGGCCATCCAGTCCTGCCCACCTTTTGCCAGGAAGGAAGGAAGGTAGAATTGCTATTATATTACTATCCATTATTATTATTATTATTATTATTATTATTATTTAGACCGATAGAGTTGGAAGGGACCCCAGGGGCCATCCAGTTCAACCCCCCCCCCCATCCCCCATTCTGCCATGCAGGAAAAGCACAATCAAAGCATCCCATGGTAATGGCCATCCAGCCTCTGTAGCAGTAGTAGTATTTATTATTTATCCTCTGTAGCAGTAGTATTATTTATTTATTTATGACATTTTTTGCCGCCCTTCTCACCCTGAAGGGGACTCGGAGCGGCTTACAAGATATATATTCATACAACATATTATATTATCAGCATAGTTCAATATCAGTATTATATATTACTATATTGTACTATACCATTATAGTGTAATATTATTAGCAATATTACATGTAATATAAAATATATTATTAAAATATATTATTATATTGCATTACATTATAATATATATATATACAATATATTATTAGCACAGTACAATATCAGTATTATATATTACTATATTGTACTATACCACTATATTGTAATATTATTAGTAATATTACATGTAATATAAAATATATAATTATAATATTGTATTAATATTAGTATTATATGGTATTACATTATAATAGTTATAAATATTATATGTATATACAATATATTATAAATAAAGCACAGGAGACAAGATGGAACTGTTTTCTGCCCACTCTATCTTCTATTTTGGGCTTGGCCTCATGTAAGACGCACCGAGTCCCTTGCGGAGATGGCAGTAGCGGGGTACAAATAAAGGTTTATTATTATTATTATTATACAATATATTATATTATAAGTAAAGCACAGGAGACAAGATGGAACTATATTCCGCCCCTCTCTATCTTCTATATTATTATTATTATTAAATATTATATGTATATACAATATATTATAAGCACAGGAGACAAGATGGAACTGTTTTCTGCTCCCCTCTATCTTCTACATTATTATTATTATTAATAGTAGTAGCAGAAACTCCAGGGGCCATTCTGCAATATAGGAAATCCACAATCAAAGCACTCCCAACAGATGTCTTTGTATTATTAGTATTATATTGTACTGCATTATAAGTATTATAAATATTATATACACACACACACACACACATACATATACATACAATATATTCTATTACAAGTAAAGCACAGGAAACAAGATGGAACTGTCTTCTCTATCTTCTAAATTAATAATAATAATAATAATAATAATAATAATAATAGCAGCAGAAACTCCATGGCCATCTAGTCTAACCCCCTTTATTCTGCAATATAGGAAATGCACAATCAAGGCACTCCCAGCAGATGTCTTTGTATTATTAGTATTACATTGTATTGTATTCTAAGTATTATAAATATTACATATATATATATTATATTACAAGTAAAGCACAGTTGACAAGATGGAACTGTCTTCTCTATCTTCTATATTATTATTATTATTATCATTAGTAGTAGTAGTAGTGGTAGCAAGAAACTCCAGGGGCCATCTAGTCTAACCCCCTTTATTCTGCAATATAGGAAATGCACAATCAAGGCACTCCCATCAGATGACCACCCGGCCTCTGTTTAAGAGCTTCCAAAGGGTTATTTCAAAGCCTCCAAAGGAGTGTTGTCCAAGGGGACCTCCTTCCCTGCCATGAGAGTGAGGCCTATATGGAAGAAGATCTCTATTCCTTATCCCCTCCCTCTCTCCCTTCTTCTGCGGGGTGGAAACAGTCCTGCTGGCCCTTTAAGGCGAGGCCTTGTCACTCATGCGCCGGTCCCGCCCCCGGTCTCCATGGCAACGGTCCCCCGACTAGGCCCGAGGCGCTCACCGGCCTTTCCTGCCTTGCGCCCGGGCCCGGAGGCCAGGTTTCCCGGCGGGGGCGGGGGCGGCGGCGGGGGTCCCGGGGCGGGGGGCGGCGGGGGCGGCTGCGCAGAGGCGTTGGCGGCGGAGGGCCCGACTCCTCCGCCCTCCAGCTTGTCCGAGTGCGGGGCCGCCATAAAACGGCAGGGACCGGCCTACGAGGCAGCACCGCCCGGCCCAGCCATGGCCGCCCGCAGCGACGGCGCCGGAAGACCAGCGAGGCGCGACACGGACAGAGCGGAAGGACTTCCGGGCCGGGGGCCGCCATTTTGGACTCCAGCCTCTTGGACTCCATTTCCCAAGGAACCTGCTCATCCGCCACAACGGCCGAGGCTTCTGGGAGTTGGAGTTTCTAATCTAAAAGAAGCGGAGCCACTTCCGGCCGAGGGTGCTCCGCCATTTTGGACGCCAGCCTTTCGGACTCCATTTCCCAGGGAGCTTTCTCCTCCGTCTCAACAGCCGAGGCTTCTGGGAGTTGGAGTTTCCAATCTAAAAGTAGCGGAGCCACTTCCGGTCGATGGGGCGCCGCCATTTTGGACGCCAGCCTCTCGGACTCCATTTCCCAGGATGCCTGCTCATCGGCCGCAACAGCCGAGCCTTCTGGGAGTTGGAGTTTCCAATTTGGAAAACAGAAGCGGAGCCACTTCCGATCGAGCGGGGCCATTTTGGACGCCAGCCTTTTGGACTCCATTTCCCAGGGAGCCTGCTCATCCGCCTCAACGGCCGAGGCTTCGGGGAGTTGGAGTTTCCAACATAAAAGAACCGGAGCGACTTCCGATCGACGGGGCTCCGCCATTTTGGACGCCAGCCTTTTGGACTCCATTTCCCAGGATGCCTGCTCATCCGCCTCAACGACCAAGGCTTCTGGGAGTTGGAGATTTCAGTTTAGAAAACAGAAGCGGAGCCTCTGCGGCCATTTTAGACGCAGACTTGCAGACTCCATTTCCCAGGGAGCCTGCTCATTCGCCTCAACGGCCGAGGCTTCTGGGAGTTGGAGCTTCAAGCCCTGGGAAGCCCTCAGAGAGGCTTTCAATCAGGAATGGGCCCTCCTGGTGTTTTGGACTCCAACTCCCAGCATTCCTCACAGCCTCAGGCCCTTTCCTTTTCCCGCTTAAGCGGCTGAGGGGGAAAAAAGGCAGGGGCCTGAGGCTGTGGGGAATGCTGGGACTTGGAGTCCAGAACACCTGGAGAGAGAGCCAACGTTGTCCAAGGCTTCAACCGAACTCAGGCCTTCTAGGGGATTAGAACTCCATTTCCCAGAATTCCTGACTATTGGCCTAAGCAGCTGAGGCTTCTGGGAGTTGTAGTTTCCAACCTAGAACAGCTCCTGAAGGAGGCTGCCTGTCATCACTTGGAAAGGAAGGCTGATCACCAAGTCAGCCTGGATTCCTCCAAAACAAGTCATGCCGGACTCATCTCTTGTTTGGATGGAGTTACAAGCTTGGTAGATGTAAGGAAAGCTGTGGATGGAGCAGATCTGGATTTAGGCAGAGTTCTCTAGGTTACAACATATGTTATAGAACTCCAGTATGCTGATGATAACGTCATCTGTGCGCATTCAGAAGATCTCCAAGCCCTTCGCAGATGCTTACGAGAAGCTCGGCCTGTCACTGAACATCGAGAAAAGCAAAGTGCTGTTCCAGCAGTCAGCAGCCATCCCCTCTCCAATGCCAGAGATACAGCTTAATGGTGTAACGTTAGAAAATGTGGACCATTTCCGCTCTCTTGGCAGCCACCTCTCCACCAAAGTCAACACTGACACTGAAATACCACTCTGCCTGAGCTCTGTGAGTGCAGCATTTTCCCGAATGAAGCAGAGAGTGAGGACTGGGACATCCATAGGGATACCAAGGGGCTTGTTTATAAAGCTATTGTCCTCCCAACCCTGCTATATGCCTGCAAAATGTGGACTGTCTACAGATGTCAACACTGAGCCTGAAATACAACACCGCCTGAGCTCTGCGAGTGCAGCATTCTTCCGAATGAAGCAGAGAGTGTTTGATGGACCGGGACATCCGTAGGGAGACCAAGGTGCTTGTTTAGAAAGCCATTCCTCTCCCAAACCTGCTATACACTTGCGAGACGTGGACTGTCTACAGACGTCACATGCAACTCCTGGAACGATTCCATCAGCGCTGCCTCCAGAAAATCCTGCAAATCTCTTCGGAAGACAAGTGGGCAAATGTCAGCATGCTGGAAGAAGCAAAGACCACCAGCACTGAAGCGATGGTCCTCTGCCATCAACTCCGCTGGACCGGCCACGTTGTCCGGATGCCTGACCACCGTCTCCCAAAGCAGTTGCTCTACTCCGAACGCAACCTCAAAGCCAACCTTAAAAACTCTGGCATAGACACTGAGAATTGGGAAGCCCTGGCCCTTGAGCGCTCCAGCTGGAGGTCAGCTGTGACCAGAAGTGCTGTGGAATTTGAAGAGGCACAAATGGTGGATGAAAGAGAGAAACTTCCCAAGAGGAAGGCGCGTCAAGACAACCCCGACTGGGACCGCCTTCCACCTGGAAACCGATGCCCTCACTGTGGGAGAAAATGCAGATCAAGAACAGGGCTCCACAGCCACCTATGGACCCACCCTGGAAGATTATCCTACTCAGACAACGAGGGATCGCCTAAGTAAGTAAGTTTTTGCACACCAATATGGGTGAGGCAAGGCTACTATGAGGTGGATCTGGAATTGGTGAAGTGACCGAACTGAAAGGATGCATCACCCCAAGGGCTCCTCTTAATCCTGGATAGAAGGAACTGTTTGGGTGCCATGAAGAGGGTCCGCTCCTGGGCCCAGTTCTGTTCAGGACCTTAAGACCACCTGGGGAGGCCCTGCTCGTTGTCCCCCCATCATCGCAATTGTGACGTACGCAATCCCCCTTGGTCGCCTACAAAGCACTCCTGGAAGCCACAGACTACAGAAATACCCACTTTAATAATAACCATTGGGTTCCTTTGGTATAATAATAATCGAGAATAAAATCAAAAAGAGATAGAAAGTGTGCACGTGGGAGTGAGGAGGAGGTGTGCGTGTGTGCAAACGGAGCCCCACAGAAAAGGCGGGGCAGGCACAGTGATCCGAGGAGTGTCCGGGAAGTGTGTTTTTTTTTTTTTTGGTGGCAGGGAAGCTACACTTTGGCTTCTGGAGTAGGATAAACACAAGAGTCATGCAACACAAAGTTATGTACAGACCGGGGGAAGAAGGAGAAGGCGGGGGTACAGGTATCGCTCCTTCTCTCCCCCCACCAACCTTTGTCCTCCCTCTGAGCATGCGCAGAGTGCGTTCCATTTCCTCCCTCCCTCCTCTGTGCTGCGGAGAGTGTGCTTTTCGGGGAGGAAGGTGTTGAGGACAAAGAAGAAAGGCTTTTGCATAAAATCTCAGACCTAGAAAAGGGTCAAGGCACACAGAAGAAGAAGAGTGACCGAGGGAGGGAAAGAGAGGGATGAGTTACAGCACTTGGGCATTCCCGCCTGGTGTTTTGGACTCCAACTCCCAGCATTCCTCACAGCCTCAGGCCCCTTCCTTTTCCCCTTCAGCCGCTTAAGCATTATATCTATCTGTCTGTCTATTGGGACCTGAAGATAGGCCTCTCTTGAGTCTATCGCTCTCTCAGCTTAGCTTTCGGGACCTGAAGGTAGGCATCTCTTAGATCTATTATTCTCCCGTCTTATTTATCGAGACCTGAAGGTAGGCATCTCTTAGATCTATTATTCTCCCGTCTTATTTATTGAGACCTGAAGGTAGGCATCTCTTAGATCTATTATTCTCCCGTCTTATTTATCGAGACCTGAAGGTAGCCATCTCTTAGATCTATTATTCTCCTGTCTTATTTATCAGGACCTGAAGGTAGGCCTTTCTCAGGTCTATCCCTCTATCATCTAGCTTAAGCAGCTGAGGGGGGAAAGGAAAGGGCCTGAGGCTGTGAGGAATGCTGGGAGTTGGAGTCCAAAACACACAGAAGGCCCAAGTTTGCAAACTCCTGGGTTACAATATATTTGGGAGAGGAAGGGTTTGCCTCCCTTTGTGCTTTTGCATCAATCGGAGGAGGAAACGGGACCTCAACGAGGACTGGGATCCCTGCAAGTGCTGCAAATACGGGGTGGCCAAACGGGGCGCATCTACACCAGGGAACAAGTGCAGTTTGGCACCGCTTCCACTGCAATTATCAGCCTTGGGGCGCAAGGAGAAAGCATTGCCTTCCTCAGTCTTTTTTGGCATCGCCTTTTTCTTTGGGAGGACGCGCACCTCAAGGCTCACCTGTCGAATAGGTATGATCATAGGTATTTGGTGAAGGAACTGGGTATTTTTCTTGGTGGAGGGATGCAGTATTGACTTGAGTCGAATGCAGCATCCAATCTAATGCGCAGTCCACCTGCGCTGCCTTGGTTCAATGCTATGGAGTCCTGGGGATGTAGTTTTGCAAGGCCTTGAGCCTTCTCTGCCTCACCAAACTACACATCCCAAGATCCCACGGCCTTTAAACCAGAGCTAACATCCCTTTGAGAGAAGATCTAGAAGCAGCGTCCTCTTTGGCTTTGGTTCGGCACTCAGATGACTATTACAAATACATTTAGCCCCAAAAGGTGAGCATTAGATTTGAGTACAAAGTGTATGTGTGTGTGTGTATATATATACACACACACTGGAGGGGAGGGCAGTTGCAGAAGACGAGGAGGTCGTGTCAGCCCTCCCTGGATGGCCGCAAACGCACAAGACGTGTTTGCAAAGCCCCCCAAGGGCCTCTGGAAAGGGAAGGCGGCCTTTGTGCCATGTGACCCCCACTGAAAGGCCCCAAAGAGGTCTCTGGTCAAAGAGCAGGAGGTGTGGTTGTTGTTGTTCTTGTTGGTTCGCTTCCTGAAATGGCCCAACGGGAGGGAGGGAGGGAGGGAAGCCATGTTGGGGCACAGTCTTTGGCTGAGGGGCACTGAAGGACAGGCCGGGATTGTGTGGGGCTGCCCTTTGCCCAACCGAGGAAGGAGAAAGAGAGAGGAAAAGAAGGAAGGGAGGGAGGGGGCCAAGGAGGGGCTCCAGGGGCCATCCAGTCCATTGTGTTTTTGGGGGGGAGGGGGCGCTCAGGCTCTCCGCTCCACGGGCTGCTGGAGGCAGAGCTCGCTCCCGGCCGAGATGATGGGCAACCGGTTGTCCATGTGGTAGCTGATCAGGTGGCTGACGCTCTCAAAGCGGTGGTCCTTCGTCCGCACCTGGAGGGGGGGGAGAACGAGGGAGAAGAGGCGGGCGCGTGAAGGTTTCAATCGGAGCGGACAAGGGAGACACGATTCGGCAGGGGATCCGAGACTTGGAAGGGACCCCAAAGAAGACCATCCAGTCCACCCCTTCTGACGTTATAGGGAGAGAGATAGAGAGGGAGAGAGATAGATGGATGGATTGAATCCTAGAGTGGGAAGGGGCCTCAAAGAAGGTCATCCAGTCCACCCCCTTCAGACATAATAGGGAGAGAGATGGATGGATGGACTCTTAGAGTTGGAAGGGGCCCCAAAGAAGGTCTTCCAGTCCACCCTCTTCTGCCATAATAGAGAGAGAGATAGAACCCTAGCTTGGAAGGACCCCAAAGAAGACCATCCAGTCCAAAGTCCTTCTACCATAATAGATAGATAGACAGACAGACAGACAGACAGACAGACAGACAGATGGAATCCTAGAGTTGGAAGGGCCCCCGAAGAAGGTCATCCAGTCCACCCTCTTCTGCCATAATAGATAGATAGATAGATAGAATCCTAGCTTGGAAGGACCCCAAAGTCCTTTTACCCTAATAGATAGATAGATAGATAGATAGATAGATAGATAGATAGAGGGACTCTTAGAGTAGGAAGGGGTCCCAAAGAAGGTCATCCAGTCCACCCCCTTCTGCCATAATAGAGAGAGAGAGAGAGAGAGAGAGAGACTCCTAGGCTTGGAAGGACCCCAAAGAAGACCATCCAGTCCAAAGTCCTTCTACCATAATAGATAGATAGACAGACAGACAGACGGATGGAATCCTAGAGTTGGAAGGGCCCCCGAAGAAGGTCATCCAGTCCACCCTCTTCTGCCATAATAGATAGATAGATAGATAGATAGATAGATAGATAGATAGATAGAATCCTAGCTTGGAAGGACCCCAAAGTCCTTTTACCCTAATAGATAGATAGATGGATGGATGGAAGGGGTCCCAAAGAAGGTCATCCAGTCCACCCCCTTCTGCCATAATAGAGAGAGAGAGAGAGAGAGACTCCTAGGCTTGGAAGGAACCCAAAGAAGACCATCCACCCCAAAGTCCTTTTACCATGATAGATAGATAGATAGATAGACAGACAGACAGATAGATGAATAGATAGAACCTAGTGTTGGAAGGAGGGAGGAAAAAAGAAAAAGGAGGGAACGAAGGAGAAAAATAAAGGAAAGAAAGAGAAAGGAAGGAAAGGAGGAAGGGAAGGGGAAAGAAAAAGGGAAGGAAAGAAAGAAAAAAAGGGGAAAGAAAGGGAAAGAGGAAGGAAGGAAAGGAGGAAGGGAAGGGGAAAGAAAAAGGGAAGAAAGGAAAAAGAAAAATAAAGGAAAGAAAGAGAAAGGAAGGAAAGGAAGAAGGGAAGGTGAAAGAAAGAGGGAAGGAAGGAAAGAAAAAGAAGGGAACAAAAGAAGAGAAAGGAAGGGAAGGAGGAAGGGAAGGGGAAAGAAAAAGGGAAGGAAAGAAAGAAAAAAAGGGGAAAGAAAGGGAAAGAGGAAGGAAGGAAAGGAGGAAGGGAAGGGGAACGAAAAAGGGAAGAAAGGAAAAAGAAAAATAAAGGAAAGAAAGAGAAAGGAAGGAAAGGAAGAAGGGAAGGTGAAAGAAAGAGGGAAGGAAGGAAAGAAAAAGAAGGGAACGAAAGAAGAGAAAGGAAGGGAAGGAGGAAGGGAAGGGGAAAGAGAAAAAGAAGGGAAAGAAAGAGGGAAGGAAGGAAAGAAAAAGAAGGGAAAGGAAGAGAAAAAGTCCACCCCCTTCTGCCATAATAGAGAAATAGATAGAATCTATCTTCTTTGGGAAGGGACCCCAAAGAAGACAATCCAGTCTAAAGTCCTTTTACCATAATAGATTGATAGAGATGGAATCCTAGAGTGGGAAGAGACCCCAAAGGAGGTCCTCCAGTCCACCCCCTTCTGCCATAATAGATACATAGATAGAGGCCTCTGATATTATTATTGTGTGTATTGGGGGGGGGGGGGTGTCATGGTGCTTTTCCTGGGCTGCCTGCCCCCTGCAGTGTCTTCCCACCCGAGGATCCTCTGCTCCCGTTGGTGCGTGTGTCCCTCCCCGGGGGTGGGGCGGGGCCCCGTCACTCACCACGCCCTCGGGGTCCACCAGCAGGAGGTGCTTGGGCTGCCCGCCCTGGAGTCCGGTCAGGACGTACTGGCCGGGCGTGGTGGTGCTCTCCCGCACCAGGAAGTCCCCGTTGGCCTGGAGCAGCTTCTCGGCCTCCTTGCGGCTCAGCCGGCCCTGGAACCAGGGCTCCCGCCGCAGCTGCTCCTCCATCGAGGGAACCACCGGCGGCAGCGGTGGCAGTGGCGGCGGAGGGCCCCGCAAGGCGTCCTCAAAGGGCTCTGCGGCAAAGGGAGGCAAAGGGAGAGCGGTCAGGAGCCGGGCAGGGCACAGCGGAGGCCTTGGCCGGGGGCACCATCACGGCCGAGCCCCCCTGCACGACATCCCAAGAAGATGGAGTGGGCTCTCTTTTTAACCCAAGACCCCCACAGGGATTGATAATATAATATAACGAAATAACAATAATGATAATAATTATGATAGTCATGTTTTGCAAGGATTTTTTATTGTGTGTATGGGGTGTGTGTGTTATATAATATAATATCATGAAATAATAATAAAATATCATAATATATGATATAATATAATAATAATATAGTATTATTAACATTAATATATTAATAATATAATATCATGAAATAATAATAAAATATCATAATAATATATGATATAATATAATAATAATATAGTATTATTAACATTAATATATTAATAATATAATATCATGAAATAATAATAATAATAATAATGAAATACTGCAATGTTTTGTAAGGATTCTTTATACGGTGAATTAATATAATAACATAATGAAATAGTAATAATAATAGTCGTTCTTGCTATTGCGGTATTTGGTAAGGATTCTTTATAAGGTGAGTAGTTAATATAATACAATATAATATAATGAAATAATAATAATAGTAATAATAATAATTATGATAGTCATGTTTTGTAAGGATTCTTTATATGCTGATAATATAATATCATGAAATAATAATAATAGTAATAATAATAGTCGTTCTTGCTATTGCTATTGTGGCATTTTGTAAGGATTCTTTATAAAGTGAGTTAATAATATAATACAATATAATATAATGAAATAATAATACTAATAATAATAATAATTATGATAGTCATGTTTTGTAAGGATTCTGTATAGGCTAATAATATAATATAATGAGTCCCCCTTTGGGGGTTGAGAAGGGCGGGGTAGAAATACCCGAAATAAATAAATAAATAAATAAATAAATAATGAAATACTGCAATGTTTTGTAAGGATTCTTTATACAGTGAGTTAATATAATAATTTAATGAAATAATAATAATAATAATAATAATAATAATAATAGTTGTTCTTGCTATTGCAATATTTTGTAAGGATGCTTTATAAGGTAAGATAATAATATAATACAATATAATATAATGAAATAATAATAATAGTAATAATAGTTGTTCTTGCTGATTTACAGCGATGTTTTGTAGGGATTCTTTATACGGTGAGTTAATATAATAATGTAATGAAATAATAATAATAATAATAATATAGTCATTCATTACTGATATAATAATAATAAAAATGTTATTGATTAGCCCTTAGGCCATATCATAATACGAAATCAAACAACAAGGCTTGATAAAACTTAATCACACTCTATGTAGTAAGTAGAGTACAATGTAGTACTACATAGAGTACTATGTAACTTACTACATAGAGTACAACATACAGTAAAAATGCAACACAACTGTTTGTTCTGCTCCTGACACGATAAATAAACAAATAACAATACAGTAAACAAATATGATAAAACTGAGTATATACATTATATTTCTTTGTCACAATTTTCCCTGATCAGCCCCACATATATGGTTCCCAAACGTATTGTTTTGCTTAAATATAGAGCTATTTTATATGTTATTTTTGTTACTGCTCTGTTTTGTAAGGATGCTTTATAAGCTGAGATAATAATAATAATAATAATAATAATAATAATAATGAAATATAGTAATAGTTGTTCTTGCTCATTTACTGCAATGTTTTGTAAGGATTCTTTATACGGTGAGTTAATATAATAATATAATGAAATAATAATAATAATAATAGTAATAGTCGTTCTTGCTCAGCTATTGTGATATTTTGTAAGGATTCTTTATAAGGTGAGTTAATAATATAATACAATATAATGTAATGAAATAATAATAGTAATAATAATAGTTGTTCTTGCTGATTTACGGCGATGTTTTGTAGGGATTCTTTATATGGTGAGTTAATAGGCCCTGCTCTTGGTCCCACTGGCTTCGCAAGCGCGTCTGGTGGGGACGAGGGACAGGGCCTTCTTGGTGGTGGCCCTTCGGCTCTGGAACTCTATCCCACTGGAGATCACAACCGCCCCTTCTATCCTGACATTTAGGAAACAGAGAGAGAGAAGGACGTGGACTGCCGCCATCCGGCTCCCCCCCAACCCAGGGCTGTGCCGGCTCCCCGTTCCCCGCTGCGCCCCCCTCGGCCGCCCCCTCAGGCACTCACTCATGTCAAAGAGGTCCCTCTGGGCGCTGCTGTTTCCGTTGGCGGTGGCCCCGCCCAGGCCGGCCGCGCGCGCCTTCTCCAGGTTCTGGACGTTGACGTAGGAGGGGTCGTCAAAGAGGTCCGTGCGGCCGGAGAGGCAGCGCTCCCGCCCTGCAAAGCCCCGCCGGGAAGACGCGTCAGCAGGAGGCGGCTCAGGGCTGCCCACACCCACAAGGAAGAGGGACCCGGATCCCTTCCTCCCTCCCTCCCCCCCTCCCTCCCCCCCTCCCTCCCTCCCTCCCTCCCTTCCTCCCTCCCTCCCTCCCTCCCTCCCTTCCTTCCTTCCTTCCTTCCTTCCTTCCTTCCTTCCTTCCTGCTGCCGCCCTGCAGACTGGGACTCAATGCAGCCACGGGGTCAAATCCCAGGGAAGGAGGTGCCACCAAACATTAGGTTGGGAGTGAACTAGACATTCCAAAATCCCAGTCTGGAAAGAGGCTGGAGGGAATTGAGCTCAAGTTTTGGGATTTATAGTTCCATCCAAAGAGCACAACGGGAAACACAACCAATGATGAATCTGGACCACACTTGGCACGCATACCAAACATGGTCAACTGACAATGGGAGTTGCAGTTGGCCCAGATCCTTATGCATTTTGTAATGGGATCAGTAATAAAATCCTCTGAAATACGTAGTAATATGTAGCCCAGGGGTCCTCAAACCGAGGCCCGGGGACCGGATACGGCCCTCCAAGGTCATCTACCTGGCCCTTGTTCAGGGTCAACCAAAGTCTGAAATGACTTGAAAAACCCTGTATGGTTCCGGTCCAGCGTATCTGTCCGAACGTATCTCCCTCTACGTCCCATCCCGGAATTTGAGATCATCTGGGGAGGCCCTGCTCTTGACCACACCGCTATCCCAAGTGAGGCTGGTGGGGACGAGGAGCAGGGCCTTCTCAGTGGTGGCCCCTCACCTGTGGAACTCACTCCCGGGAGAAATTAGGGCATCAACATCCCTCCTCTCCTTCAGGAGGAAAGTAAAGACGTGGTTGTGGGACCAGGCCTTTGGGCAATCTGACAACTAGATAAGGACAATCAGACAATTAGGACTGACAGGACTGACAATGTGGAATTGGAATTTGGACTATGAGATAGCGAACACTGACCGTCAATGAGGAGTAATTGCGTTTGTATTGGTTTTATTGGTTTTAGGGTTGTAGTGCAGGAATTGTTGTTTAACTGTTCAACTGTCTAACTGTTTAATTGATGTTTTTTGTGTGACTACTGTGATGTGATGCTGGCATCAAATTGTGCCTTTGTAGGCCGCCCTGAGTCCCCTTCGGGGTGAGAAGAAAGGCGGAGAAGAAGAAACCGAAATAAATAAATATAAATAAGCACACAACAACAACAACAATCCTCTCTCATCAGCCAAAAGCAGACCCACACTTCCCACAGAAATACTAATACGTTTATGTTTGTTAAAATTGTTCTTCATTTTAATTATGGTATTGTTTTTAAGTGTTCTTTGCACTACAAATAAGAGATGTGCATCAGTGTGCACAGGAATTCATTCATTTTTTTTCCAAATTATAATCCGGCCCTCCAACACTTTGAGGGACTGTGACTTGGCCCTCTGTTCATAAAGTTTGAGGACCCCTGAGGGTCTTACCAGAGACCTAAATCCAAGCACTGCCGGGTATGGAAAGAAAAGAAAATAGCACAACGCCTACCTTGCGAGGCGGGATGCGGTTTCCGGGAATCGTAGTCTCCGCCGGACATCTGCCCAACCGGCTGCAAAGCAGAAAAGAGAGAGGGGGGGAGCGTAAGCCTGGCGTCCATTCAGTTTGGGGGAGGGAGGGTGTGGGTGGGGGCTTCCTGCCTTACCAGGGTGGCCCCCAAGTGTCCGGGCGGGAGGGCCCCGGGGGCCCCGTCTCGCAGGCGCAGGTCCACCAGGCCGCCCAGCGGGGGCTCCTTCCCGGGGAAGTCGTTGTAGTACTGGTGGTCCGGAGGGGGGTCCTCCTCCTCATCCCAGGCCGAGCCATCGAAGCCGGCCATCCTGCGCAGCCAGGGAGAGAAGAGCCCGGGTGAGCCCTGCACAAAGGGCTCCCCAGAGGACATCTAGCCCCACCTTTGGGCACCACACAAAATGCCAGGTCGTAATGTTCGTCCTGGTTGAGACCCCCTCTTCCAGGCACAGCAAAGGGGTCCCCAAAGGATATCTACATACATAAGATAGAGACATGGGCCAACTTTGGCCCTCCCTCCAGGTGTTTGTTAGGAATTGTGGGAGTTGGAGTCCAAAACCCCTGGAGGGAGGGCCAAAGTAGGCCCTGGCCTGGATGACATAAACAGGCAGATGGAGAAAGGTAAACATAGAGGGAGATGCCGACCTGTCGTGGGGGGTGACCAGCTTGGGGGGGTTCTTGAGGTACTGCTTGAAGCGCAGCTCAAACGCCTGGCCGATGGTGCTGATGACGTCCTGGGCCAGGCCTTCCGGGCACTCCAGGATGTGGCAGGCTGGAAGGCATCAAGGGGGGGGGGGGCAGGGGAGAGAGGGAGGCCAAAGCGCTTGGAGGGAGGCCACGCTGGACCAGCCCCGCCCTCGCCCGCCAAACACTATTATTATTGGGTGGTTGTAGGTTTTTCCGGGCTATATGGCCATGTTCTAGAGCAGTGGTTCTCAACCTTTTTAATGCCGTGACCCCGAAATAAAGTTCCTCAAGTTGTGGTGACCCCCAACCATATTTTCGTTGCTACTTCATAAATAAATTTGTTACTCTTATGAATTCTAATGCAAATATCTAATATGCAGGATGTATTTTCATAATTAAAGCATAGTGACTAATCACAAAATCAATACATTTGGGGGAGTATGGACACAGATGATGGGATTTACAGTACCTTCAACCAATTCAGCTCTGACTTCCACAGACCACTGAGATCCTCCACAAATTACAGACCTGGACCAAACTTGGCACATAGAACTCCCATGACCAACAGAAAATACTGGAGGAGTTTGGGAGGAATTGACAGTGATTTATGGGAGATGTAGTACACCTACATCCGGATAGCACTGTGAACCCAAATGACTATGGATGTGGTCCAAACTTGGCATGAATACTCATATAATACTCAAATTTGAACAATGGGGGAAATGGATCTTGACATTTGGGAGTTGCAGTTGCTGGGATTTATAGTTCCTCTGCCATCAGAGAGCATTCTGAACAACAAAAATGGAATTGAAGGAGCTTGGCATACAGAACTCCCATAACCAACAGAAATTACTGGAGAGTTTTGGGGTTATTTTCCTGACATTTGGGAATTGCTGGGATATATAGTTCCCTCCCATCCAAAAGCATTCTGAACTCATGCAACCATGGAATGGACTCAAACTTGGCACAGAGAACTCCCTCCACCCGTTCCTTGGAGGGGGCGGAGCCAGCCAAGGCAGCTTTGCGACCCCCCAAAAATGGCCTAACGACCCCCCCAGGGAGAGAATGCTTCTGGAACATGGCCAGGCAGCCATGCGGAAAACTCACAGCAATACTATGGCTTTCGCAGTTTTTGAACAACACTTTGAGGGATTTTAATGGATTCTATTATAACCTTTGCATGTTGTGGGTTTTTTTTTTTAATGTTGTGTGTTTTAGTGTTGTGTGTTGCTTTCTCAATCAAGAGCTGAAAGGGGGAGACCAATAAATATAAATATCGCCAACCGGATGCTCTTACCTCTGTGGTTAACGGGGTCTTTGGCAACGTAGGCGACGTATTCAGCCGTATCCTGCAAAGACAGAGAGGCGCAAGGAATTCACATTCATTATTATTATTATTATTATTATTATTATTATTATTATATTTAGGTTGGGTTTCCCTGCTCACAACATGCCTTCTCAAGGGGGATGGAAATGGGATTTCACAGAATCATAAACTCAGGAGGGACCCCCAAGGGCCATCCAGTCCGACCCCTTGCTTTGCAGGAAGACACCATCAAAGCCCTCTTGACAGATGGCCACCCAGCCTCCTGAGAAGGAGACCCCGACAGACTCCTAGGCAGTATAGTTAGAAGGGATCCCCAAGGGCCATCCAATCCAACACCACCACCGTAAAATAATAATAATAATAATATATAATTAATATAATTATAATAATGTATAATAATATAATTATTAATATTAATAATAATAATGATACCTTATTTCTACCCCGCCTCCATCTCCCCCAAGGGGACTCGGGGCGGCTGACATGAGGCCACTGGAAGGGATGCCAAAGAGGCCCATCCGGTCCAACCGCCTTCAGCCAGACAGGGAGACGCAACCCATGTCCTGGAATCACCTTGGCCTTTTCCGCTGCTGCGTCACCCCCTTGGCTCATGTTCAGTCATATCTATGACGATGGTCAAGCCATGGCTTTATTTCTATCCTCCATCTGGACAACTATAGGTGCAACTCGGCATCGCATTGGCCTTTTCTGCTGCTGCGCCTCACTCTTGTCTCACATTCGGTCATACATGTTCCTATCGTCACGCCATCTCCATACTGCTTTCCTCTATCTGGGTGGCCACCTCTCCCGGGTGTTTTGATGGTCCTGGAAGGGGGTGGGGCGAGGTGGCCCACCAAACCCAAGAGGATCCTTTTGTAAACAAAAACAATCCCACTCACCGGATCTCCTCCAGATGCGAACGATATCGACTGCATGTGATGGTTGGCAATGATCTGTCGGAAGAAAGGAGGGCGAGTGAGGCGCAAATGCGGAGGGAGAAGGCAAGGTGACCCCTTCTCCTCAAAACAAACAACAACAACATGGAGTCCTGGGGGGTGGAGTTCTGCGAGGCCTTGAGAATGCGCATACTGTCCGGATCTGTAGCTTTCTGGCGAAGAAATGACCTCGCAAACAAAGCTGGAAGGCTTTGATTCAAAAGCATGCATTAGGGAATGCAACAAAATTCCAACTGACAGTTTGCCTAATTTCCTACAGAATCCTAGAATCAAAGAGTTGGAAGAGACCTCCTGGGCCATCCTCCAGTCCACCCCCATTCTGCCAAGAAGCAGGAATATTGCATTCAAATCACCCCTGACAGATGGCCATCCAGCCTGTTTCAAAGCTTCCAAAGAAGGAGCTTCCACCACACTCCCTCCGGGGCAGAGAGTTCCACAGCTGAACGGCTCACACAGTCAGGAAGTTCTTCCTCATGTTCAGATGGAATCTCCTCTCTTGGAGTTTGAAGCCATGGCTCCATTGCGTCCTAGTCTCCAGGGAAGCAGAAAGGAAGCTTGCTCCCTCCTCCTCCTCCCTGTGGCTTCCTCTCACATATTTATACATGGCTCTCATCATATCTCCTCTCAGCCTTCTCTTCTTCAGGCTAAACATGCCCAGCTCCTTAAGCCGCTCCTCATAGGGCTTGTTCTCCAGACCCTTCTCTGGACACATTCCAGCTTGTCAATATCTCCAATAGCTTTGGAGAAATCATCTCGTTCCTCCAAAGCCCTCAAAAGGGGGTCCGGGAGGGCTCTGCTCACTTGTTTGCAGTCGGAGGCCATGAGGTTGAGGTTGCTGGTGGAAGGCTTTAATTCAAAAGCATGCATTAGGAATGCAACAAAATTCCAACTGACAGTTTTCCTAATTTCCTACAGAAACCATGTTGTTCCTCCAAAGCCCTCATAAGGGGGTCCGGGAGGGCTCCGCTCCCCTGTTTGCAGTCGGAGGCCATGAGGTTGAGGCTGCTGGTGGAAGGCTTTAATCCAAAAGCATGCATTAGGGAACGCAACAAAATTCCAACTGACAGTTTGCCTAATTTCCTACAGAAACCTTGTCGTTCCTCCAAAGCCCTCAAAAGGGGGTCCGGGAGTGCTCCGCTCACCTGTTTGCAGTCGGAGGCCATGAGGTTGAGGCTGCTGGTGGAGATGGTGAGGGTGATGGGCATCCCGGCAAACTTCAGGTTGCTCTGGCCCAGGATGGAGTGTAGCGAGCGGCCGCAGGGCTGAGGAAGGAAGGAGAAGAAAGGGAGCCTGAGCACATCGCAGGGACAACAACAACCTTTGGCTCAACACTATGACGTGGATCTAGTGCGCACCCCAAGGTTGGTGGGGTCACTCAGCATTGCATTCGAGTCAATGGGCCTCACCTTCCTCCTGCGGACGGCTCCTTTGGCCCCGGGCACGGCTTCGCAGACGAGTCCAATGGCTTCCCTGCCCGGAGAGGAAGAAACGAGGTTTTGTTTACACTATAACACAGGCCTGGGCCTACTTGGGCCTTCCATCCAAGTGTTTTGGACTCCAACTCCCAGCATTCCTCACAGCCTCAGGCCCCTTCCTTTTCCCCCTCAGCCGCTTAAGCGGCCGTGAGGAATGCTGGGAGTTGGAGTCCAAAACACCTGGAAGGAGGGATGGCCCAGATCCACAACATGTTCCATAACTTCAAATCACTGAGTGGGTTGAACTCCAAGAACCGTGGGCTATGGCGAGGTGAAGTGGCCCTCTGTGATGTCACTGGGAAAGAAAGGGAGGGAGGAGAAAAAGAAGAGAAGGGAAGGAAGAGAGAAGGAAGGAAAGAACGAAAGAAAGAGAGGAAGAGAGAAGAAAGTAAAGGTGAAAGGAGGAAGAACAAAAAGGGAGCAAAGCAAGGAAGAGAGAAGGAAGTAAAGGAGGGAAAGAAAAGAATGTAAAAGGAGGGAGCGAAGGAAGGAAGGAAAGAACAAAAGAGAGGAAGAGAGAAGAAAGTAAAAGAGAGAGGAGGAAGAACGAAAAAGGGAGCAAAGGAAGGAAGAGAAAGGTAGTAAAGGAGGGAAGAAAAGAGTGTAAAAGGAGGGAGTTAGGAGAGGGAGGGAAGGAAGGAAGAGGGAAAGAAAGAAATCAAGGAGGAAAGAAGGAGAGAGGGGGAAACAAAAAAAGAGGGAGTGAAGGAAGGGAGGAAAGAAAGAAAGAAATGAAAGAAGAAAGGAGTGGGAAGAAAGAAAAGAAAGGTGGGAAAGCAAGCGAGGAAGGAAGGAAGGAAGGAAGGAAGGAAGGAAGGAAGGAAGGAAGGAAGGAAGGAAGGAAGAGAGAAGGACGGAAAGAAGGGAGGGGGAAGAGGGAGGGAAGGAGAGAGAGAGGGAAGAAGGGAAGAGAGAAGGAAGTAGAGGGAGAGGGAAGAATGAAAAAGAGGGAATGAAGGAAGGCAGGAAGGGAGAAGGAAGTAAGGGGGGAGGAAAATAAAAGAACAAAAAAGGAGGGAGGGAGGGAAGGGAAGGAAGAAGGGAAAGAAAGAAGGAAGGGAGAAGGAAGGAAAGGAGGGAGGCAAAAGAACAAAAAAGAGGAAGTGAAGGAAGGAAGTAAAGAAATGAAAGAAGAGGGAGTGGGAAGAAAAGGGGAGAGAAGGAAGAGAAGGAAGGAGGAAGAGAAAGGAAAAGGAGGGAGGGGAAAGAAGAAAAAAAAGGGGGAGGAGAGAGAAAGGAAGGAAAGAGGAGGAAATAAAGGGGGGGAAAGGGGAGAAGGAAGGCAGGAAGGAAAGAAAGGAAGGAAGAGAGAAGGAAAGGAGAAAGGGAAGGAAGTATAGGAGGGACGGAAGGAGAAGAACAAAAAACAAGGGAGCAAAGGAAGGAAGGAAGGGAGTGGGAAGAAAGAAAAGAAAGGAGGGAAAGAAAGCAAGGAAGGAAGGGAAGGAAGGAAGAATGCAAGAGAGGGAGGGAAGGAGAGAGAGGGAGAGGGAAGAAGGGAAGAGAGAAGGAAGGAAAGGAGAAAGGGAATGAAGTATAGGAGGGATGGAAGGAGGAGAATGAAAAACAAGGGAGCGAAGGAAGGAAGGAAGGAAAGAAGAGTGGGAAGAAAGAAAAGAAAGGAGGGAAAGAAAGCAAGGAAGGAAAGGAGGAAGGAAGGGAGGAAGGGGGAAGAATGCAAGAGAGGGAGGGAAGGAGAGAATGGGAGAAGGAAGAAGAGAAGGAAGTGAAAGATGCCTCCTCCTCCTCCTCTCTTCAACGCAAGGAGGGCAGCATCGAGCGAGGCCTGTTTAATATTTGATGATGATGGGCAAATGCTTCCTGTCTTGAGTAGCGGGCCATTCTCTCTCTCTCTCTCTCTCTCTCTCTCCGGCCAGGGCTGTCCAGACCCCATGTCTGCTGGGTAATGGACAATGGGGAGCAATAGATATATACAGAGATATGTTGTGTGCATACCCACATACAGCGCCATCCTGCCATTTTTTCCAGGGCAGGCACTTAATGGGCGGCCAAAGAGAAAGGCTGCCATGAGCCACAGGTGCAGGCGAAATGTCAGGAGAGAATGCTGCTGGGCTAGGCAGCCCGGGAAACTCATGGATCTGTGTGTTGTCCTGCAATCTTATTAATTACGACCAACCGCAACCAGAGTTTATGACATTCCTGGGTTGTTGTAGGTTTTTTCCGGGCTATATGGCCATGTTCTAGAGGCATTCTCTTCTCCTAAGGATGCTTGCCATAGATGCAGGCGAAACGTCAGGAGAGAATGCCTCTAGAACATGGCCATATAGCCCGGAAAAAACCTACAACAACCCAGGCCATGAAAGCCTTCGACAAGACATGATGACATTCTGCTTTGGCTCAGGACGAAGGTGACCATATGTCGCAAATCACCCTAATTGTGCCGAGGTTGTTTCGCCCCAAAAAGGTGAGCCCTAGATTTGAGCAAAGAAGGTTCCTGAGCCATGAGTGGGCCACTCTGCAGGGCACGGGAACCCGGCCGCAGAGCCGAGCGAGGGGCCCCCGCCTCCCCTCCTCCGCTTACCTTGTGACCTGTGTCCGGGTGCCGAAGTCAAGGGCCCGCATCGACTGCAGCACTTCCACGCAACCCATGTACTGAGGAGAGAGGGAGGGAGAGAAACATGTCAGCAGGCCCCCAAGGGGACCATTCTCCTCTGGGCCAGGGTTTCGCAGCCGGGTCAGAGGCTGGGTGAGGGGTGCTCGGCCTCCTCTCTTCCAAGGCATCAAGTACAAAAGGCCTAGCATGGCTTCCCTTCGCAAACCTCCCTCAGGACGCCAGGTGATACCTTCGCTCGCACGTTGGCTTCCTTCCTTCGGCTGCCTGTCTTGCCTCCTCTGCCTCTGCCCCA